TCTAGAAATAAAAGTAAACATTAAATCATATAAACCATGCTAGTTCATAGCTCCATAGACTAATTTTCAATAAGTTTTAACATTCTTTGAATGCAAGGGCAAAACCAGGAATTTTTCAACGGGTAGGCTAGCTAAAGTTATTCGCTTAAAATTTAATGATCATTTTTTTTTTTGGTACTTACAATTTCTATAGTTTTTCTAGAAATAAAAGTAAACATTAAATCATATAAACCATGCTAGTTCATAGCTCCATAGACTAATTTTCAATAAGTTTTAACATTCTTTGAATGCAAGGGCAAAACCAGGAATTTTTCAACGGGTAGGCTAGCTAAAGTTATTCGCTTAAAATTTAATGATCATTTTTTTTTTTGGTACTTACAATTTCTATAGTTTTTCTAGAAATAAAAGTAAACATTAAATCATATAAACCATGCTAGTTCATAGCTCCATAGACTAATTTTCAATAAGTTTTAACATTCTTTGAATGCAAGGGCAAAACCAGGAATTTTTCAACGGGTAGGCTAGCTAAAGTTATTCGCTTAAAATTTAATGATCATTTTTTTTTTTGGTACTTACAATTTCTATAGTTTTTCTAGAAATAAAAGTAAACATTAAATCATATAAACCATGCTAGTTCATAGCTCCATAGACTAATTTTCAATAAGTTTTAACATAAACTAAATAGGGTTTAACACCATAGTGGATTGAACATCTAAGGCTTTTTACCTAGATTGACCTTAGGTTCCTTCATGCATTCATATCATACATGAAAAATTATTTTCTGTAAAAATATTGACTAAGTATGAAAAATGGGTTTTCAGAATAATCATTTTCTCAAGATAATTTTTGGCAGCTTTTATTCCTCACACATCAAATAAGAAAACTTGATTTTATGGGATTTTAGTATGAAGTATATATTGACTTAATGAGCCAACATTTTTAGCCTAAATCGTATTTTGCACTAAAATCGATTTTTCATAATTTGATTTGGTTGGAATTTGATTTTCTTGTATTTTTATTTGAATCCAAATGGGAGGTACTTCCTTATTTACATTGTAAACTTAAGTAAATGGAGTAATATAAAAATAAATAAAAGTAAAATGACAAAGACAGCCCACTGAAGCCCTTGGTGTGGTTCCGCCCTTGTTTGAATGCTCACACATTTCACCATCAACCTACTTAAAAAACCCACATCCCCTTTCACCTCTTCCTTACAAACCAACAAACAAAGAAATTTTTCAGTTCTCATGCCCAACACAATCACGCACAAGGTTGGAGATTACATGCTTACCTTTGCCTTTGGACACACTAGAAATCCGCGTCCTAGGTTTAGATTTTTCCATGAAGTTTGAAACCGAGCAACATTACCAAAGTGACAACGTTGTAATTAATTCAAATAGAGAGATTCAACTAGTGAACACGAGCAACCACTACTACAAAAAACACTTTGCGCGACGAAATAATTTTGTTGCGCAAAGTACAATTTCGTCGCGCAAGCTTTGCGCGACGAAATTTTGGTCGCGCAAAGATCGTAAAGAAAGGTTTTGTGCGACGAAATTTTTTTTTTGTCTCGCAAAGATACTTTGTGCGACGAACGATAACAACTTTGCGCAACGAATACTAACGTTGCTCAAAGATACTTTGCGCGACGAATTATAACTACTTTGCGCGACGAATACTATCAACTTTGCGCGACGAATATTAATTACTTTGGGCGACGAATAATATTATTTTGCGCGACGAAATTTAATGTCGCGCAAATCTTTGCGCGACGAATCCTAATGTCGCTCAAATCTTTGCGCGACGAAATATTCAATTTTTTAAAATTTTTGTTTTTTTTAAAAAAAATTTTAATTTTTGTTTTTTTAAAATTTTTAATTAAAATAAACTAGTTTAATAGTTTGCTCGACGAAATATTTTATCACCCAAGGTTTTTGACATTTTTTTTTTATTATTTCTCTTATATCAATTTCATTATATTAATTTTTCAAATTTTTACTTT